GCGAGAGAGAGGGGAAGCGATTGAGAGAGAGGGGAAGCGATTGAGGGAGAAGGAGCGAGTGAGAGCGCGAGTGAGAGGCACGAGAGGCGCAAGGACGTCGGTCTGTGGAAAAGTTGTAGCTGTAGCTTGAGATCTTGGACTGCTGGCGTCTGTGATGATGGAAAGAGGATGGAAGGGAGGAGCAAAGGTGGTTTATTTGTCATCCACCCATCAGCTAAAAGCCAAGATTCAGCCATCCTACCCAGCCATTCGCGCGAGGTTGCTCGTGGGTCGAACATCGCGGCCAGCGCGATGTGTGCTCAGTTGCTGTTCGAGCCGCTTCAGCTGTCGCGCAATGCTAATTCAGGCACTTGAGCACATAGTCGATGCCAGCTTCCTGCTTCTGTATCCCACATGCCTTGCAATCTGCACCGTACATCGACCGTTGGGGGCCCTGGACTTTCGAATACTGAGTCAGACCAGTCACAGTGGTTGTGAGGCTCGGCTTTCGAGTCTCGCGTCTCGCGTCTCGAATCTTGATGTCGTTGGAAGCAGGTATACGCAATGCACGAGACCAACACTTTTTGAATACATCTATACAAGCTTTCAATACAATTTGATGCACGTGCACGGAGCTGGCCACTTTTCATCATGATTTGGATCAAAAATCAGAACCACGAACCAGCGTGCGCATGTATGTTCTGATTGTTTGGTGCGACGGGTCTGTGCGCCCCGCACAGCAGCAGTGGCTGCCTCAATCGGACATGGCATAGCCGCGGGTCACTCACACTCAAGACCACTCGAACTTTGACCATGCACCAAGCTAGTAGTCTACAGCATTGGTCTGAATACATGCATGGGTGGCTGGGTCCGGGCCCGCAGCTACTTCGATCTTAAGGCCTCGTGCCACACATTTGCAACACAGCAGTACCCATCGAGGTCTCGAGCAGGGGCATGGTGGCCAGCGATCCTCCTCATCCAGCAATAACGGCGCCAAGTAAGCTGTGAAGCTCGCAACAATGAGCTTCAGACATCAGACATCAAGAAAGACGTGCCACCTTGCGCGCTCGTGTCGGTAAGCGCGGCTCGTCGCTAGATTAGGAGATCGATTGCCAGGGATGGGGTATGACGGTTGCTAGCTCTCGCGAGCGGATAGTTGTGATACAAGCGGGAGAGTGAGTGAACGGCAAGTAGTTGTTGTTACATTTGGTGCGAGGACGGGACGCAGACCTACGGTTGCGGCCCTGTTGCCTCGTGGATGAAGAGGGGTTACCGAATCGTCAATTTAAATCCATTGATCGCTACTACTTCTGGAGCTTTCAAAGTGCCTCAACAAGACTTGGGCGACTTCAATGGCCAAAGGCGGG